TCGATCCGCCCGCTGCCCCGCCTGCAGCGCCGCCCGCTGCGGTGTGGTGGCCAGCATCATCTGCTCGTCCGCCTCTCTCCTGTCGTCCCAAGCATCGTGCCTGCGCTGCTGCCGCTCGCTCCACCAGCCGCTGCTGCTCGAGGTGTTTGGCCCCGCCTCGGCATGGCGCCGGCTGCGCTGCCCGGGATGATTTATAGGAGGAGCCTGACCTGGTCTTTTAGATGCCTGCCTGCGCGGCTGTTCATTGTCAAGGCGCCTCCCAGGGTTGGACTCATGCACGCTGATGTGCAGCTTGGGGGGAGTCATGAAGCATTTGGGCTACCCGGAGTCGATCACGACAAACGAGAGGGAAAATGGTGGAGGTTTGAGGGAGATGAAGCCTGAAATGCATGATGGGTGGGGGATGCATGACCCCCGCCAGGAGGGGACCGGTGATCGGGAGGCCTACCTGTTTCTTAGTGCTCGATGCAGTGTTTCTGGCCCTCGTGGCAGCTTTGGCGATGGGCGGGCGATGAGGACTGCTGTCGCGTCCAAATTTCGCCAATCAGCTGGCGATGGCACATTGAGGATTGGCGAAATGCGGGGGAGCCACCCTTGCGCCTGGCACAGCGCAGCGGCCACATGCGGCGCCGCTGTTGCTTTGTCGGCACTTGCCTCCCTTTTGGGGGACTGGGGGCGAAGCCCCCAGCAAGCTGGCGCTTGTTTAACACTATGGAGTGAAGTTCCTGAGGAAAATTGGCCATTTCTCCTCAAAATATTGGCGATGTCAGTCATGGGGGCTGGCGACGTGCTGGCGATGTCGCCCCGCCGCCTGCCCTCATTTAGCCAGCCCTGGCTGGCGATGGCCTTCGGCCAATCGCCAGCCAGAGCCGTTTTTTGGCCCGATTTCGCCAGCATTTGGCGATTTCGCCAGCTTTCAGAAACACTGGCTCGATGCATCGGCGTGCTGACGTGGCGGCGGGCGCACGCACCCCTTTGAAACTTTGGAAGCTATCCTGTGGCAATGCAACCACATACAGCCCTGCCGGGGGCGATCGCGGATGTCAAATCTGCCTCCAGCTGCACAGGCAGCGAGAAGCTGCACACAATTGGCGCTTGCAGGTGCACAATGGACGCTTGCAGGCAGCACCAGGCGCAGTTTTACGATGCCACGGATGCTTGCGATCGTTCAAAAGAGTCCCGGGCAACTACGGTGCAGGCTGCCAGTCTCCGCCCCTCACTGCTTGCTGCTGGGCTTCCCTGCAGGGGCGCTGGCTGCCATCCTGGTTGCTGCGCTAGTGCTGTACAGCCCCAGCATGGCGGCGGTCGCGGCGGCGTGGCACCCGCCCGCAACAGCTGCCGCCAGCGGTGACGTAGGGCAGCATTACCTGCTGGCTGCTGTGGCAGGCATAGATGTGCCCTCGCTCAACGTGTTTCTCCAGTCCTGGAGGCGCTACTCCCCGCAAACTCGCATCGTGCTGTGGGTGGAACAGAATGCCACGCTGGCAGAGCACGGCGTGCCTGCCGACGTGGTGCGTTTCACACGCACCGCCCAGGACATCAAGCTGCAGAGGTGGGTGGGTTAGGTCTGCCTCTGCCAGGAATCAGAGAGGCATAGAATGCGCGCATCGCAGCAGTCGATAGGCAGGCGGCAGCATGTAGGAGGCCATTTCGGGTCGGGCTCAAAAACCGGCGTTCATGCCTGCCTGCCTCCCCTTGCCCTGCCAATTTTGCAAAAAAAACAATCATTGCCGTCTGCTCTGTGCACCACCTGCAGATACGAGCTGTGGAGGCCGTTCCTGGAAGGCTTGCGACGCCAGGGGAAAGCCGCGGGGGTGGTGCTCGCTGATGCGGGCGACGTGCTGCTGCAGGCTGACCCCTGGCAGGATGCGGTGGTGGAGATGCTGGTGGCAGAGGTGCGCTCTGCTGCCAAGTGTGCCAATGGCCAGCCGTGCCAGAGCCTCTTTTTTTCTCATGTGGTCCCAACCAACCGCCGCCGCTTGCAGGATGCGCTGCTGTTTTCTTTGGAGGGCGGGCCGCACGATGGCATGGGCAAGCCGATCCGCGACTGTGCAGCCAACCGGCAGTGCCTGCAGCGCTGCTTTGGCGCTGGCGCAGCGGAGCAGCTGGGAGGCAAGCCCATTGCGTGCGCAGGTGAGGGCGGGAGGCGACCTTAGCATACATGGCTGGCTCGACAGGCGGGCACGCCCGGTGGTAAGCTCAGCTCCTGGCTCTGCTTCCTGTTCAGGCGTGACGATTGGGGGCCTGGGGGCAGTGACCGCATACGTGCAGCAGCTGCTGGATGTCACGCAGAGCAGCGCCACACAGGAGTGCAGGTGAGGGAGCGGCTGCAGGTTGGCGAGCTGGCCTCGCCAGGTGCTGCCGGTGCCCGGCGGCCTCCTCGAATCATCTGCTGTACATCCCCCGTCAACCACCCTGCTGCTGCTGTGGGCGTCCCGCCTGCTGCAGGGACCAGGCCGGCGGTCACCAGGCAGTGCACAACTTCATGCTGCACCGGCTGGGGGAGCAGGGGGGCCTCAGGTTCCGCCACCACGTGCGCAGCAACTGGGAGTCCCCCATCCATAGCGCAGGCACGTGCGGCTGAAGAGCTGCCGCCGCTGGTGCTTGACTGTGCTGCTGCTACTCTGCCGAGCGTCCCCTCCGTTGCATCCTATCCCACCTCCCCTCACTTCCTGCCGCAGCATACGGCTGGCCCTTCCGGATAGACCGCTTCGGCGTGCTGCGGCGGGACAACGGCACCACCCCCGCCATCGTGCATCAGTACCATCGCTGGCGTGGCGCCCTGGCCATCTACCGGGCCATGTATCCCTACCTGGGCCGCGGCTTCGATTACAACGGGCCCAACGCAACAGGCAACTCGGTGCTGGCACACATGCGGCTGTGCCAGTTCTGCCGCAAGCAGCTGGATGCCGGTGCAGCAACAACGGCATGATGCCCAACCTTGCTGCGAAGCTTGTGTAACCAGCGACGCCGGTCCGTACTAGGGGCAGGTCTGTACCAAGGGTCAAGCAGCTGTACAGACACCGCCAACAGTTCAACTCTGCCCAGCACATATGCTTTGCAGTGACAGCAACGCACAAGCAGTGCCTGTCCTCCATCCTGGATGGACATAGCAGCCATGAGTGCATCAAGCTGACACTGCGGCTCCCCCCTGCTGCTGCCCCGGCAGTCGCCGGCCAGACGGCCAACAATGGAGAACGGTTGCCACCGTGCAAAACCTCCCTAGCCCTGTACCGCTGCCGGTACAGCAGTATGGCAGTGGGGGCTAGGGAGGCTTGGCGGCACTGCCGTACTGCTGTACTGCCCCCACCCTGCAGGACTACGTCACCGCCACCACACACACCTGTACTCCACCATGCATGCCGGGATGTTCAAGCTGAAGCGGCCGTGGAAGGTTGTGTCCTGCGCAGCGCAGGCAGGCAGGACAAGCAAGTAGGCAGACAGGGGTAGGCAGCAGGCAGGCAGCACAGCGCCTCCTTGTGGCTAAGATCATAGGCGGCGGCGGCGGCGGCTGGGTTGTCTCAAACACGAACGCATGCATGCACGTACGCACGCACGCTGCTCCTGCCTCTGACCAGGCGGCAGCAGGCAGCGGGCAGCAGCAGCAGCAGCAGCAGCAGCAAGCGTCGCCCACACTACTGTACCCGTCACGAAGCAGAGGCCCATTGTGGCCACAGCCACCAGGGCATCAGGGAACCAGCCCGCCTCCAGAGTCAGCGCCTCAAACAACCACCATCTGCACATGCCAGGTGGCTAGCAGCGGCATACGTGGGCTCAGCAGCGGGTTAGGCAGCAAGTCCGGAAACACACAGGGCGCCGCCGCCAAGGAGAGAGTGTGCAAGACACGCACAACATCAACATGGCAAGGAAGCAGCCAGCCCTGCCACCACCCCTGCCACCACCACCACCCGCTGACCGCTGCCCTTTCTAACACCCTAACTGGCGGCAGGCTATGCCTCGCTCACTTTCAGCAGATCATGACGACACTGGGCAGGGCCAGGCCGAGGTACTGCGCCCGCGATGGCGCCCAGCTCCAGCCATTCCAGGGCTAGTCCTCCAACCTGCAGCAGGTGGGGGCCACGTGTGGGTGTGCGGGCGGTGGATGTGCCGTGTGGAGGATGTGTCTAGGGTCGGTAGGAGCCCAGCGCAGGCGGCCCAGGGCGCTTGGAGCAAGAACCAAGGAATGTATCTGGCAAAATGCCCGCGCACACGCCACACACAGCGGTGCCTCGCCAGAGCAGCCTGCCCAGCGGCCCGGGTGGGGGGCTCATGCCCACCCAGCATTGCACAGCACCACGTACGAGCCCAGGAGCAGGGTGGAGGTGAGCTGCGCCACCAGCAGGGCCAGCGCGGTGCCGTCCAGGCCCAGTGCCAGGCGCACGATGAAGAGCCAGTGGGAGAGGGCGGCGGCACAGGCGACGGCCGCAGTACGGGAGCGCACATTGCCCTGTGGTGGCGTCTCGGAGGGGGTGGTGGCAGGCGTGGGTGGAGGACGGGCAGGGTTGCATGAGCGGAGCGGAGCGTGCTGGCGCAGCACACACTCATGCCGCGGCAGGAGCGGGGAGGGAGGGCACCAACGGCGACGGCGCCCATCCATCCCCACCAGCCACGCACCTGTTCCCGCAGGTAGCGGCGGCAGGCCTCCAGGATGCAGGGCAGGCAGGGCACCACCACAGCCATGAAGCTTGCCGCCGCAGAGGACAGCTCAGCCTCCTGACCCAGCAGCAGGAACAGGAGCTTCGGCCTTCCCTCAATCTGGACTCCCCTGGAACCAGCTCTTCTGCAATACACTGCCGTGTGTTGCCACTGAAGCCTGCCAGGGGGGAGGACAGCACAGCAGAATAGGCGGGGGAGTGAGTCCACAACGCCCGCACGGTCAAAACGGTGAGTGCCGGCTTCGGCCAGCGCCCCTGTTGCTGCCTGCGGCGGCGGGCGTGGCTAGGGCTGCCTAAAGCAGCAGAATGAACAACTTTCCACGGGAAGGTGCTGCAACTCACTCACGGCGGTGCAGGGTGATGCAGGGTGGCGGGGGCATGGGCGCTGGTTGGTCCTCGGGCTACCCTCCCGGGCGGTGCTGTGGCCTGCAGGGAGGCTCTGAAGGCCTTCACGCATATGGGAGCCAATACTGCACAGTCCAAGGCGGCGCATAACGGCGCATTTCGTGCTGCCGATGTCCCGCCGGCGCGCCTGCCAGGTGCAACCTCCCCATGGGCGGAAGCGAACAGTCTGTTCTGCCCTCGCCAGGAAACTTTGGGTGCACACAACAACATGCTCGCTGCTTCTGCGGCCGTCGGCATCAGCGCGGGAGGTGAGTCTCTTGGCTCTCGTCTGGAGCCGGCCTTTGGCGCTGGCCGTGCTCGTTTCCGCTTCTGTGTGTGTGCACGCACACACCCCAGGGCTCGCGTTGCGCCGGGCGGCGAAACTCACTCTGTAGCTTCCTGCCTCCCTGCTCAGGCGCTGGAGGGCTGGGCCGGCGGCACGCGGGGCTCGCATCGGTCCCCATCTGGGGCGGGCGGCGAACTTCTCGCAGCCGCACGGCGGCCGCCGCCACAGGCGCCTCGGGCACCCTGCCTGCGCACCCGTCCTGGGATATGTTTGCGAATGTTCAGGTGATTGCGCCCCCGCACCCTGCCCGCCTGACCGCTTGCGGCAACATGCAGACATGCCTGGACACAGTGGCTGGCCTGCCGCTGTTAACCATGCGTCCCGCTGGCTGTGCCTGTATTCACCGTACTGCACCCGGCTAGCTCGCATCATCGCTCCTGCCTGTTTATGCCGCCTGCCCGTGTGCCGACTCCTTGGATTGTGCAGTCTGAAGTGTCGCGGGTGCAAGCGGCGGTCGCCAGCAACACCACAGCGTTACAGTTCACAAATGAGAAAATTGACAAGCTGGATTCGAGGGTGGATGAGGGGTTCGCCAAGCTGGCGGATGCCATGGACAAGCAGGCGGCCATGCAAGCGGAAGCCATGGCCAAGCAGGCGGCCATGCAGGCGGAAGCCATGGCCAAGCAGGCGGCTATGCAGGCGGAAGCCATGGCCAAGCAGGCGGATGCCATCACCAAGCTGCAGCGCAGCATCGACCAGCTGCCCTTGGCAGCGCTGAAGTCTTTCGCAGCGCTAGCTCTGGGCCTTGCCACCTTCTTCAGCCTTGCATGGCCGAGTCTGGTACAGCTGCTGCGCACTTGGCTTGCTTCAGGGTGATGCGCATCATCACATGCCACCCCCTTGCCACTTTCAATAACCCCTGCTTTCAGCTCACTACCTGTTGGCATTGCAACCAGTACCTTTTGTGTCGCAGCCCATTACACCCATCCTGCGTGTACCTTAACTCCCTCAGCATTCTCTCGAGGTGCGTGTACTGCTGATTAAGGCAGCCCCTCAACTTCCAAAGCTCTGCTTGTAATGCTCGCCCTGCTGTCGGCAGCAGGCGGCGGTGGTGGCGGGGGGAGTATGAGGGGGCGAGGCAGGCGCAGGTAGATGGTGACTGAGCCGCGGGTGATGTGTCAGCAATACACTGCGAGGGATGCAGCAGGCCTGCGTGTAGAGCCGAAGCAGCGTGCGATGCGACGAGTTGCTGTTGAGTTGCCGCTGCATTCAGGTGCTCTGGCCGCCCTGCCTCCCTCACAGCCGGATCACAAAGCTGCTGCTGCCAACGTGGAGGCCAACGTGGAGGGGATCCAGCTCCTCACTGGCTGCAGCAGCAGCAGGCCAGCAAGGTGCCAGCAGCAGGGGCGATGCGCAGATCAGCCTGCCTTCTGGAGGGCTGGGCAGAACCTTGCTATGGGCGGTGCAGCAGGGCTGGCCCAGCAGCAGCAGCGGCGGCAGCTTGCACACAGCAGAGCGGCGCACGGGGGGGGGGGGGGGGGGGGGGGGGGGGGGAAGGGAGGGGAAAAAAAAAAGCGAACCCCCGGGGGGCCCCACCCATTACTG